GTTGACCATGTGCATATTTTCCAAACACTGCCACAGGGCCAACTACAATGAAGAACTTACTGTCCTCTGTTGAGCTCCGACTTCTCGGTGACCATGATATTAGGCATCTCCTGCCTATGCACTGCATACAGGTTTATTATCATATCGTCTCGGTACATGTCCGGATGGTGGTAAGTCGGGATCTCGGCTGCTGCTCCTGCTGTCGCGACAGAGGCATACCAGCAGCGCCGCCCACGGCCAGCTCTGGCCAACCTCTGTAGTGTCATGCCTACTAGAGGCTTTTCAATGATGGAAGTAATGCCTACCCTGGCTAACATGGGGCCTTAAAAAACAACCTGCGAGTAGTTGACGGTTAGTGTAGTGCAACAAGGTTCTACAGAAGTGCCGAATCAGCACGCTAGTCCCCCCCGTGAAGAACTTCCGATCGGAGCCGTGCTGGAAATGCTCCCACGCTCGTCGAACTGTTCACTATGAACTATGACTGTACGCTCAAGTGATTGATGATCTCACTTAAGGTGCAAATTCTGTGATGCAGGGATCTGCGAAGAACGAGGGCTGATGTCAAGTGGTGCCGTGCTGCTGGTCGTGTCACAGCTTGTGTGCGGGCGTATGATGTTCATCAACGCGGTGTCTAAATAAGCTGAGTTACTGTCATTCTTGCATGCGATATTCCTGCCCTTGTCAAACGTGAACTTGACATTGACACTATCAGTGAAACCATATTTGGAATGTGCCAGACTTGGACTGCACGTAGACGGTATTGGCGTTAGCACTTTTGCCATACGGCTAACATGGGTGTTCATTAGCTTGCTTGTGACATTCTTGCATATTCACTTGTCAAACTTGCACGAGAAGTGGTATTCACCTTTCAATCATGTGGTTCGTTTTTGGAATCATCAATTTCGTCGGGATGGGCGAAGTTGGAGATACGAGTACGAAACGGGAAGACCATATTGGCAATTAGCACTTTCAATGTGCTCACCGTCACGAAGGGGACAAGTCCGGCGCGCACCTCGGAAGGGATTTCCTCTCTGCCGTTGTAGAAACTCTACGCTGACACTGTGGAGGTTTTGAAAGGTCATCTCCCACTAGGAATACGAATCTTGATTGTAAATCGATTATAATGGCGAGCGCGATT